AATTGTTTGATATTTTCCCCAAAATATTTTTTTTCCTTTATTTTGACTAGCGTTAATTCAGTTTCTATACAAACTTTGTTAACATATCAGAAGTTTAAATAGCCTTACCTGGTTCCCTAATCAATTGACATTTATTTAATATTTACTTATCAGATTGTGCTAAGTGTTTTACGATTACTAACTCTACTAATTTTAGCACCTTTGTTTTAGAAGTGAAGAAACTTCGCTTATATGAACAATATAAAGCAGTAAAATAAAGGGTTAGACAAAACCAAGCTAATAGCACACCCTAGAAATCTCAAATCTCATGTGACCAGAGAGGGCTGGAGAGAGACAGCAAATTGTGGAGGGAGCCCCATGGACTGTTATGGAAGATTATGGGTGCCCGGATGGTAAGTGTGATGTGGTAACATACACTAGAAAGGGTGTGACCCTATAATTCTGAATCATATACAGTGATTGAACCCAATGTTACCTCAATTAATAAAAACAAAGAAAAAACAAGGAAACTGGTGTTAATGGCCAGGAAGATACTTGTCTACAATGTGATAATCAATAAATGGCAAAATAGTGATTTGCATCCATGCTTTTATGACTCCAGAGTCCTGCCTTTAAGATTCTAAGTTATGCTTCTTCCTTTAAGAATCAAAAGTTTCAATGTTCACATTTAAATAAATCCCTTAAACTTAGTAAATAAAATTTAACCCATGAAAGCTTCCAGACACTCTAAAGTCTCTTATGAGATAAAGTCTTACAATTATTTGTTAACACTTCATTAATTGCCCCTCCTACTCCTGGTATAGTATAATAAATTTTCAGGAAAAAACAATTTAATTTCGGCTCTCCCTGGTGGCACAGCACTAAGAAGCTAAAGCCACTTCAGCATGAGTTTGGTCTCTGCCTTGAAGGTGACCTCTCCTGACTGCCTGCTGTTCCTCTCAGCAGTGTTACTTCATCAGTTGGCCTGTTCTACTCCCTGCTCTGTCTCTGGTGAATCCTCTCACTGCCTGGCACCTCTGGCCTGTACCCCAGTTCTGTATGCATAAATAAATAAATCTTAAAAAAAATTTAATTTCATAAATTAGGCACTTCAGTTTGTTACATTTTTCACTTACACAATTTCCAAATTTTCAAACAGAATGTTATCTGACAGTCATGTTCTTTAATTATTTATGTGGAAAATGGATGATCCTTACCTGCACTATTGGTGAAAGATTTGTATGATTTTAAAATTGTCTCTGGAGGTTTTAATTTTTGATATTGAACAATAGGCTTGCGCAGTCCTACCCTTTGAAAACCAGCCAATTTCCATCAAGCTGATAGCGCTCTATCTGTGTGTATTCTCAGATTACTTGGTTTGAGAGACTATTGACAAAGAGCCAACATGACAAGTCTCTGTTCTAGCAATTCTGTCACAGATTGCCTTTTGCAAAAGAGCCATTGTTAGAATTATTTTACACCTTAGTGAAAACAGAAACCTGGACAGAGAACATTCTTTTTGTGGTTAGATTGTGATAGGAGTTAATGTCACCTTTGCATATTAAAGTATAAGTCTTTTCCAAATCGCATTATGTCAGACTCTTGCTTTGCTTTGCTCTGCTTTTCTGCTTTAACCCCATAAAACTGGGGTAGATTCTGGTACAGAAGTTCAACGGGAATGGAAAAAATTAGCATTCCAGTGAGAGACTACAAATCATAATTTTTAAATGAAAAGTTTCTTTAGCAAGAAACAATTTTTCTGATAATCTAGAATGTGTTCTCTGTTTCCTACCTTATTGAAGAAAAACTAACAATTCTGTCTGCAAAAAATATCCTCTGTTCTATATTTGTATTTTAAGTATGTGAGTCTTCAAAATAGGCAAAATAGCTTCTGAACTCAGCAATTTTTCTTGCAAATGGAACTCATTTGAGCTATGTTTCCAAGCCTGCAAATGCTGGGGCAACAGAGCACATCTCAGGAGACCACTCCTACTCGTAAGTCAGGACTTTCCACCAAGTAGGTCTAAGTTTTTTTTTTGTTTTTTTCTTTTGGTCATCACTGGCTTCTACATAATACACTCACTACTATTTAGTGCACGTGAACTGGAACTAGAAGTAGAAACGTGACCTGGATCTGTGCTGCCCCTCATTTCTACTGTGAAGTTGGGCTGTTGCTTTTCAAGTGTTATTTGTGTTCTGTAGTTCGTGTAGAATAATGGCCCTTCACTCAGCAGTAAACAAAGAGGCTAACAAGTAACAATGTAATTGGGTTGGAGGGGAAAGATATTACATGAATGGATGCATCAGTGAAGCATTTTCAAGTTTGGAAATACATCTGTTTCAGGATCTGATAGAAAAAGTGAATAATGAAGTGAATTTAAGTAGATTGAAATATAAGAACAGATTTCTAACAGAAGAATGTTGGGGGTCAAAGGTTGGAAAGAGAGGTGTGATAAGGAAACTGAACAGAATGATTCCAAAGTTCACTTGGCAAAATAAACTTGAGAATGGTGATGAAACTTTTTGAAGGGAGATAATGAAAAAGAACTTTTCCAGCAGATATTTTAAATATATTTACTGAGATGCATAATAATGGCTCATTGCAGTAATACACAGTAAAGCAAATGGAAAAAGGCTGCTGCTAGCCCAGATAGTGCTTTGGAACAAATTAGAGACCTTCCTGCCTCTTCCAGTCCCTTTCCGAGGGAGCTATGTATGTGCTTGACAGGAGCTAAGGATGCAGCTGTTATTAAAAAATATATATATATATGCCCTTTTCTCCACACTTTTGGGCTCTACTGGCTTAGCTGGCAAAAGATCCTGGGTGGATTTCAGTTTCCACTGTGCTTTTTCTGGGATTCTTACTGCATTGTATATGGTGTTTTATCACACTTAAAATTTCTTCATAAATGGATGCTATTTTATATATGCACATATATTAACAAATAATAAGAATTATTTCTAAAATCATAAGGTACCAGAAAAAATCAATAAAGAGACAAATCAATAGGGAAAAGAGAAAAGTATACGCTTAAAAGTAGCCAAATCATAAAGAAAATATAAATACTGATGTTATTAAATCATGTCAGCTATGTTAACAATGAAAATAACAAAATTTAAAATAACGTTGAGCTTTTCACTTTTTTTAGTTAAATTGCTTAAAATTTAAAAGTATTTGGAGAAACAAGGATGGAAAAGTTTACACAGTAACATAATTACAAATGCAAATAGAAATAAATATTTTTCAAAAATATTACAAAGTAAAAAGAGATACATATCACATACAGTAAAAGGAATACTTGTGTTGGGTCAGTGAGTGGGAAGAAACTGGGGTCAAAGTGCACCATTAAATAAAGTTGAGAGGTGCCTGTGGGACCTGTAAAATGATGATGTATCAAACAAGGAGAAGGACGCTTTACATCCTTCTCCTGGCCCTGAGTTCCCTTACTGGCTGCAGAGATAATGTAGGTGATAACATACCAGTGCCACATGTTGAAGAAACTGGCACTCGTATATTGCTCATGGGAATACAATTTTGATAAGCTTGCCAGAACTAGTTTCCCAATATAAATTTCAATTAGTGGGAGGAGTCAAGTGAGGTAAATGTTGGTATTGAATGGATTTATGCATTGCAGTATCCCAGAGAGGGGTCTCAGTGTGGTGAAGAGTGTACTGGCAGAAAGGGAACAGCAGCCCTGCCTGACATGTTGGAACCCAAGCGAGACACAGAGGAAAACTAAGTGGAAGACAGGTTGGCACAGTGTGCTGGAGCCCTTTGAGGTGAGGAGGGTAAAGAAGAGCTGCCTTGAGTTATTGGCCCTGGAGTATTATAATGCTTAAAGGGGACCTTGGTACAAATATTAAGAGGTCTCACGCCTGGTCATAACACCACCTAATCATGACATTAGGGACTCAGTAAAGATTCTTTAACTTCAGTTATCTTGTATTTAAATAAAGGAGCTTTGCTAGTATTAGGTGATCCTTCAACTTAGTTTTCATTTCAAAAAACCGTGATGCTGTCTATTTTTTAATTGAAAAAGCATCAAAGAGAAGAACATTGATTTAGTTATCAGAGTCTTCGGAGGAAATTTCCAGTATCATTTTTTTCCTAGTTACAATTTTAGAGTGGAATATAAGAACCAACTATTCATTGAGTAACTTTTCTATGCCTGACACTGTATGATTTTAACTCCTGTAAATGTGACCGTGACTCTCTTGAGTTCAATTATATAATTCCTTTTGGCAGTTGTAATTGCATAGAGGGTCCTAGGGCACAGAATGAGTAAGTACAAGTACAACATCTGGAAAAGAATTTGTCCTGTATGATTCTAAGCCCTAGATTCCACAGTAAAGTGCTATACTCTTGAACAATGCTTTTTACCATTATTCACCTATTTTTACATCCAAACTAAATTTTAATAAAATTTAGTAAACTACATTCTGAGCACATCTCAGAAATCTTTAATAAAGATGCCTTAAGAATCGCTTATATAAGGCGGTTGCTTTTCCTTGCCCATCCTCCCACACAGAGGTTTACAGGGTCCATAAGAATGATTTGTGCATTTTCCTTGGAACCCTATACACAAGTCCTACATTTTGAGGGAAATATCCGAATGGAAAAAATGAGTGTGATCTGATGGTTGAGGCAGTTTTCATTTTATTTTTGTAAAAAGCATAACAAAGGGCAGAGATTCGAGCCGAGTTTAAAAAACAAAAAAACAAAAAATCAAAACAAGGCCAAAATGTCTGTAGAGGTGCGGTCAGAACTGCAGAAACAACTATGTCAAAGCTTTCTGGTTCAAGGCTGCGAAGAAGGCATGTTCTATTCGTGTGTGTGTTGCTTTTGACACTTTCTCCCCCTTATCAAGCCTCAGAGGTGGTTTAAGACAGTTAGAAAACACTGAAATCAGGGAAGGCTAAGAGTTTTGATCCAGTCCTGGCGGGAGGAGGCTGAAAGGAAACACGGCGGGGGACGTTGGGGGTGGGGACTGTGTTTCTGCCTCTGTCCCGGCTAAGGGCAGAGTAAGGTAAGGCCTCTCTCCCTACAGCGGGTGTCTCTCACACCCCACTCTCCTCCGTCCAAACTCCCGAATACCATGGGGACCCGCAGGAAACGACCATCAGAGATGGAAGAAAGTCAGCGAGCTTGAATGCGGGCGTCCCGTTTGCAAGTGTCCAAGGAGACAGCCCGAAGTGCGCCAGCCCGAGTCTGGAGAGTTTCCCTGTGGCCGAGAGGGGGAGCCCCGCGTTCCCAGCCCTGAGCGACCAGGAGTCCCCAGTCTCCAGCCCCAGACGCCGCCTGCGCCAGTTTTGGCTTCAGTCGATTAGGAAGAGGAGGGAGGGGGCAGAGAGCGCTGGGAGGGAGGGGGCGGGAGCCGGAGGGTCCCCATTCCTGCACCGCGTTGACGTAGAGAAACTTTCCCTCTCCGCCACGGAAACGGCGCCCGGGTCGCGCCGCCCGAGATCGCAGGCTGCGAGGACGCGGCGGCTCTCCACGCCCCTGCCCGAAGCCTGACCCGCCTGCATCGCTCAGTGAGGTAGGGAGTCACCGCGATTTATCGGGTCTTCCCTGGCGGCCAGCCCAGCTTCCCGCCAGGTAGCGAGGAATCTCTTTTAAACTGGCGACCTCGTAGGTGTGGGCCGGTGGTCAGCCCCGCTGCGGGTCCCTGGGCACAGGGGCGCGGAGCCGTGTGCTGCCGCTACCCGGCAGGTTGCAAAAATTAGAACAGTGAAAGCGCACGGAGTCGCCCTGCGCGAGAGGAGGCTCAGACCTGTTGGCCACTGCGGAGGCAGGGCTGGAGGGGTGGCCGATGAGCCCACCGAGGTAGGGGACGCAGCGGTTCCCCGACTCCTGGAGCCTCCTCTAGTCCTTTGTGGTAACTTTGGTCCCGGTGGCGGGCAGCTGGAAGGGGCTGGCGGGGCACCCGAGGGTCAGTACAGATTAAGGATGCGTGGACCAGACTGGGACCGAGCGAGCGAGTCATCGCCGGGTCACGGAGGAGAGCCCTAAGAGCGAAACTTCGTAGCCTAATGTCTCTTTTGTTGGCTCCTGGGGCGAGTGTGGGCTTGGGGGCGGGGAGGCGCGGCGCTCGGAGGCCGGGCGGCGGATTCTTTAAAGCCCGGGGCTGGGAGGGCCCAAACGCGGGGGCGGTGCCCACATGGTTACCCTTTGGCTGGGTGGGTCTAGTAGTTACATCTGTGGATCCTCCGTTGGAGGGGCGCGCAGCGCGGCGGCGCGGTGAGACTCCGGCTCTAGGTTCTGTGGCCAAGCTCACTCCCCGGGGTCCACCTCCTAGTGCACGGACTCACGACGCGGATCGGAACTCAGAACGTTCGGTTAGCCGGTGTGGCTACAGGGGCCGCCGCTGTTTTCCCTGTGAGCGGGAGGGAACTCTGGGCACGCTGGTGTTCTTGGAATGTGTTTACGCTGTTGAATGGGACTAGAACAGGAAGCTGGACGCTGCAGCTGGAAGTAGCGTGCCAGGGTAGAGTAAGGAAGACGGAGCTGGTGTTGGGCTGTCAGGTCCACTTGACGGGTTGGGAAAGCAGGAATAAGCGCAGATTGGTGATCTGGGTACCCCTTCCTGGGTCCGAGCACATTTTCCAACTGAACTCATCTTATTTTTCTTGCAATCAGACAAGTACATGCACTCTTTCGGTCTGCAAGTTTGACAAAGTACAATGCAGTCATCAGGAAATAATTAATGCATTTATTTTGGTACCTGCTTTTAAAACATGTTGCATAAGGACTTAAAAAAAGTTTTTGGAGTGTGTTCTAGTCATGACTGCTTCTTGGTTTCTAGAATATGTAGAATACCAGAATACTGACGATTTTGTGGTTAATAGCATTTGGTGACTAAGTGCTAAAGTTGGGGGAGAGTGTAGTGAGACAGTGAATGTAAGGAGATAGGAAATTCTGAGGGGATTTGAAAATTTTTCAGATTTTCAATTTGCTCCCTTTTTCTACAGGTCTTCCTCTTCTTCTGCCACATAAATAAATAGCCTTGCTAGAAACTCACCAATTGTGAGTGGAGACTGTAAGCCTTTTTGGAAACAGCAGACAGGCTAAGGTAGTTCCCCATTGCATAATTAAAAGGTCTCCTTGAGCTGTCCAGGAGTGTTTTCCAAGTTTTTACGACTGACAAGGAAAGAAGAGAGGAACCTGGCAGGCGGCCAAACTAGACTGAGCTCAGTAGCCAGGCATGAAAAAGACTGGGAAGTTGCAGGGGATAATTGGAAGGGAGCTGTTGGTTGTACTTAGGTTTAAACAAGGGGGTTCTTTTGCAAATGAGAATATTTAGGTGACTAAGATCAGTCTTCTAGGCTGAAGTATATGCTAAACATTGGGTGCAGTGGAATTGTTGACAGAGGAGAGTGAAAGAGGTCTGTAGGAGCCAAGTCTGACCATTCCTTATTAGTGTTGCAGTGGAATAATCTGAGGACCCAGTGCTGCAGGTGTTGATCATGTTTGACAGATGCCTGCACTTTTTTGCACTTTGTTATCTACACAACATAGACCAAGCTTGCTGCAAATTCAGCCCCTTGACCTTGACCTCGACCTCTTTTGTTGTGATAGCCAGGAAAGACTGAAGACTTGGGCTTTGAGCAGATGGTTTTTCCATCTAAATTGAATAATTAAGTTAGATATTCTCAAATGGCCCACATTTGGGTCATGAAATTAAAGTGAAAAAACAAACCAGCAGACGAGTCCAGCATGTCTTCCTTGTGTTTGTTAGTAGTGATATTGATAGATTTTGTTATTTCACTGAAGGATAAGTTGGGATGATCTCAGCATTTCACATAACATGTGCCCAATTATTAAGGCCTTGCCTGTTCTGAATTCAGACTAGCTCAAAATGTCAGTCTTATTTGAAAATCAGATCTTTCTTTATAGGCATGAAAACTGTTTATTTCTCTACTTTTTTTTTTTTTTTTCAGGGAAGTAGTGTCTACTATTATTGTGGGTTTAGGGGTTTAATAGTAAAAGGCATTGATAAAGCCTGTATTAGCTCTGAATTGGTGAGTTTGAGATTGTATCAGCCTGCTGTATGAGATTGACTTTACGAATCACCCTCCACATAGTGTTTTCCCTGAATATGACTTCAGTTTTTCCACTTGCAAAGAAACTTTCCTTTACATAATTACAGCTTACTGTATTAAGTACATGAAATTATGTTAATAGGCTTTTAGATATAAAAATTCAGAGTTTCTGACTTTTTTGCTTCAAATGAGATTGTGGGGGCAAATACTAACCTTTATATCTAGCATACACATATAATAGAGGCAAATCTGTATGTAATTTATTGAAATTACTACTTTTGCCTTTTAATAATAGCTTTCATTTTATCATAAATTTTAACCTTTGAGAATATTTGGTGAGATTTTTGTTGTGGTTAAAGCTGAGTCATTCTAAAACAGAAGAACAATGGGCTAATTCATTTATTTTTATCTCAGTTTGTATTTATATAGCACTTGCTATTTTCTAAATTTAGCTCAATTTTGTCTTAATGAGATGTTAGTAAATGTCTTTACAGTGTTTGGCTCCCCTCTTGGAAGTAACATTTGAGACACAAAGGACTTTTTTTTAAGATTTATTTATTTGTGCATACAGAACTGGGGTACAGGCCAGAGGCTCAGGGGTGGCGAGAGGCTTCACCAGAGACAGAGTGGGGAGCAGAACAGGCTGACTGTGGAAGTACACTGCTGAGGGGAGCAGCAGGTGGGTCAGTAGAGGTCTGCCACACCATGTGGTCACTTCCGGAGCAGGCAGGAATTGAACTCATGCTAAAGTGGCTTTAGCTTCTCAGTGCTGTGTTTTAACCCGCTGCGCCACCAGGGAGGGCCAACACTAAAGTACTTTCATGTTGTACAAACTTTTTGCTCTCAATGGCCTCAACAGTTCCTTGAGATTTAGGGGGTAGATTTACTAGCCATTTGTTAACTCAATCAATGCTTGTGTTATTCTTTTTATGTCCCAGGAAATGTCAGGCTTGGATTCAAATCCTAGCACTGTGATCTTACTCATTTCATATAACTTCTAAACATTTACCAACATTTATTGTCTATATTACTATCTATACTGTAAAAAATTGTTAACGTTTTGATGATAATTGTGAAATATTTAATTTTTATTTTGGCATATCAGTTCATAAAAGAAACTACTTACTTTTATAGCTTAGTATAATGAATGCACTTGGATATTTAATTCTTTCACATGAATAGGTCAATACATGAGAGAAAGAAAATTGAATAAATACAGATAAATTATTTAAGGAACAAATGTTTTGATAAAGTACGTAGTCATAATTTTTATTTTTAGACTTTACATTGATTGTGAATCTATAAAATGTGGGAGTATATGGAAGATAGTAATTGGGTTAAGTTTATGATCATTTTAATATAATAAGCACTTTTTGAATAATCAATGAACAAGTGAATGTGCAAGGATGTATTGGGGTGATTTTAATAGAAAATATTAAATTATGATTTTGATTTAAAAAATCTTTAAAATCTTAATCTCTATTGCTGAAATATTCGATAATTTTCATTTAGCAGTATGCTTTGTGACTCACCTGCAGTCATAATTTGCTTTCTGAGGTCTCTAAAGTCTTTAAAAGTAATTTTATTTGCTATGATAATGAATTCAAAAGTAGTTACAGTTGCATGATTTTGATGAGCCATGGTCCCTAAACATGTTAGAAGCTGGAGGATTTGATAGGGTTTGTCAACACATTTAGAGATCAGGAAACATAAACTTGTCCTATGGGAATTTAAATATATTCAAATTGAAAGGGGGCAAAACAGTATAAACTTTGAATAGAGAAATTGTGTTGTTTCTAATCAGTGGAGAAACAGGGAAAGTTAGGCTTAGAAAACAATGCCTCTGTTACTTGCAAATTTTAGCCTCTGATATTTGCTGTAGGAACAAATCTCCAAATTTGGGGTAATTAAAAGTTTATAGGAGAATAAATTGGATTTTAGTCTCTCAAATTCTTTCATAGCTAATTGTAACTTTCAAGAGAGTGCGTGCTTCATAAAAGTAAAATTTTAATAGTAAATGGGTTCTTTTACTCAGATTTCCACTGTAAGTTAAAACTTAAGTAGGTAAATACTAAATCGTTTTATCTAAGAACACAATACATTGTAAAGTGTTTGTAAGAATCACTGTGCATGTTTTTTGTTGTAATTTATTTAATTTTTGCCAGCATTTGAGGGCTCCAGAGTATGAAAAGATTTTGTCTGATGGTAGAACTTTCTTATTACCTCCCCCAGGGAAGCACATAAAAAACAGTTCTCCAATATAAAGGCTAATGGTTGCTGGTAGTATGTACAAATACAGAGAAAGTTTGGCTTGTAGTAAAGAACAGAATTGACTTCAAATTGATTTATCTTTATTCTGTATGTAGTGATTGGATATAGTTAGTAAGAGGATTTGGCTTAGTCAGTAACTTCTAGCAAAATATATTTTCAGAGATTGTTAAGAGTCACAGTTAAATAAAATTGTATTTGAAATTATTAAATGCTATCTGAAATGGCA